AAGTTGAGAAAGGGTAATAATAAATGGGGGTAACAAATTTCCAATTGAGCAGCCATTAAGCAAGATGAACTTTCCAAGTGAGCAGACCTAAGACAGAAGGGTAAATAGGAGGCCTACAAACTTGAAAGTTAAATTATTACATCAAGTCATAAAATGGGTGTAAAATGTTAAAAAAAAAAAAGGGAATTAAATTTCTACATTGGGAATTAAATTATTGACTAGTTCATTTTGATAGTATATATCTACAGTTCAAAGACTGGTTGCATGTTAGGGGGTCGTTAGGCAATCCAAACCCAACCATGGGGGCTCAAGGACTGGGTTCTCATCAATATCTAACACAACTTGTTGGCATTTGGTATATCCTAATGTTTTAAGTTCAAAATTTTCGAGGATGGCTGTGGCAAAGAGCCCTGGCCTTGGGGACCCCCTCCTCATCTCTTGTACCTAGCAATGGTAGGTGCGAGGATCCTTGTAAAGATTTTTGATGGTGGCAAAAAATGCCCTCCGTCACTGTCCCTGGGGAAATAAGGGATCCTTGCGGGTATGGGGAATTCCGGCTCAAGTAAACTAAATATTTTCATTTTGGAATTTAAATTGATGGAGGGCAAGTTCTTGTGTACTAGACATTTTCCACCTAAGAAGAAAACAAATAATTAAATTAGAATGTTATGTAAGATTAATTTTATGAAGCCACTGCTTTGCAAATTTAATAGAAGCAAAGAAATAGCATATAAGACTACTTAAATTAAAACCCAGCTATATCTCAATTTATTCACTTTCAATTTCTTCTCGCACATAAAAATACTATCTAAAATCTTGCTTCTACTCTTAAAGAAAGTTAAATTTGATGCTTCATTAGCACTTAGTAAACTCATTCTACAATAACTAAAACATTCTAGAACTACTTTAACTTTAAAAATTAAAAGCACTCATTTAGAAAAATAAATAATTAGACTAATCCAAACTCCACAATGAAGGTAAAGATTTTATTGACAATGTAATCAACTAAGTGATATTAATACTATTTGCATAATGGTATATGTTATAAAAATATAAATTGGTAGTTTTTTAAATTTCAACTTTGGATCAACACCTTCACCATTGCATATAAACCTTGTAGTGAAGCAAGGGTATAGAGGAAATGAAGAGTTGTTATTCCCAATTGTATAGCTGAACACCTTTGGATCAACACCTTCACCGCCCGTGCATGTCTGCTTGCAGCCCCAATCAGGGCTCGGCCTTGCCAAATGCTTCACTTCTGACAATGTGTTTAATGCATTGACACAAGAAAAACTAACCAAGGCTTGAGCAAAGTTTTATTGGTGAACATTTTATATATATATATATATATATATATATGCATTGGAGAATTCATACAGAAAATATTGTGTACTTAAAAATAAAAAATCCTTTGCCTTTACTATTACCTATCGAGGACTTAAGTAGAATTCATCTGAATCTGAATCTTGTGATCCTTCCTTGACGATTTGTATCCCCTGGATTTGCTGGTCAGATTCTTCCTTGACGATTTGTATCCCCTGGATTTGCTGGTCAGATTCTTCCATGATGATTTGTATCCCCTCGGTTTGTTGGGAATGCATCTCTAATGCCAAACACTCCTTAAGTTCTACAAGCACATGACTTAAGTCTGGCCTTTGGTCTGCAGATCTCGATGCACATGACATTGCTAACTTTGCGACTTTTGAAGCAGTGTTGGTATTGAATTTTCCTTGCAACCTTGGATCAACAAGTCTTTTGATATCCCCTGTCTCCATTATAGACGCTACCCGAACAGCTATATGCAGAGGGGAGTTGTACTCGAGAGAAGAGTTGAACTCGAGAGCAGGCCATCCGGTTAACAACTCTAGTAAAATTATGCCGAAGCTGTACAGGTCAGTTTTCTTGTTTAGTTTTCCCGTCTGAAAATACCTATATGAAAAACATAGAAGATGAACTATTTGCTAAAGTTAAAAGGGATTAGGCGATTAGCTGATAGCTGTTGGTGCAAATTAATTACTTACACAGGGTCCAAGTATCCCGATGTCCCACAAGCACCGATAATTTCTTCAAATTCTTCATGCAAAAATTGAGCCAATTCGAAACCAGCTATCTTGCCTTGCATCTTTTCATTTAACAAGATAGCACTGGATTTCAAATCTCCATGGACTACAAAAGTCTTGCTGCCCGTCTGCAGATACTCCAATCCTGCAATTCTAGCATAGCATTAGTTGATGGCTCATGGGGAAAGTAAAGCAAAAGAAATTAAAGGAAGTTTTCACTGAATAAATTAGGACCATGTGCGATATCAATAGCAATTTGAAGCCTCTCATTCCAGCACAAAATTCTTTCGTATTTCCCTATAGGAAGAAAAAAGAAAAAAGCAAGATAACAATTTTTAGTTCAGGTAATCAAACTAAAAATGGTTAACTTATATGGTGAATCCAAACCTGATAAATGCTGTCTCAAATCTCCATTAGCCATGAATTCATATATCAATGCCTTGATATTTCCAACACAGTATCCCACTGCAGAAACCACATTTCTGTGACGTAGGAGACTTAATTTTTCTACCTGCATTCAAAGAATGATGCTTTGTCAAAGTGAAATCCATTTGTATTTATCTTTATGGTATAGAGTGTTGAGAAAATGGCTGCAGCGATCCTACCTCGGTTCGGAATTCATAAAATTCTCGGTTTGATGATGATGATGATGATGGAGACCAAATCTTAACAGCAACAGGAGCGCCATCATTTAGAATGCCAAGGTAAACTTTCTGAAATCCTCCATCATGAATTACTTCTTTAAAATTTGAAGTTATTGTAGCAACCTCTGTGCTGGTAAAGATTCTCATATTCCCCAAATTCAGTGGTTGTTGCTCCTCCATTGATTTCATAGTGGCCTCTGAAGCAATGAAAATCATGTTTCTTGTTAAAAACAATGCCTTTGCTTGACTCTAAGATAAAACAAAGAGAAAAGAGAACACCTTTTTGTCTTTGTCTTATGTTTCTGTAGAGTCTGACTAGGATATTGGGTCTGCTGGTATCATCCAACGCTCTAGAAAAACCCACCTCTATATCCAAACACTTCTCAAGTTTTGTCAATATTTGACTAATGTCAGGCCTTTCATTAATTCGCTTCACACATGACACTGCTATCTTTATTACTTTTCGCGCGACACCGATGTTGAATTCACCATTTAGCCTTGGATCAACGATTTTCCGGATATCCCCTTTTTTAACAAAAGGATCAATCCACTTCTTAAGGGGAATCCATTCATCTTTGTCTCGTGTTATGATTGCTGGCTTACCAGTGACCAACTCTAGTAGAATTATCCCAAAGCTGTACACATCATTTCCCTTTCTTATGTGTCCTGTATTATAAGAACTGCATGGAAAAAATAATGAAAAAAATATTATATCAATAAGATTTTGAACAGAACTAATTAATCTTAATGAAGATTTAATTAAGGTTTTACTCATGATCTTTGTATCCCGCTGTGCCTGCTAGGTGTTCAGTTGATATATGAGAGATAGATTCTGTTGCAAATGCTCTAGATAGTCCGAAATCAGCTATCTTGGCTTCCATGTTTTTATTGAGTAAGATGTTGTCAGGTTTCAAATCTCTGTGGACTATTGGTGGCTTCCGACCATGTAGATATTCTAACCCTACAACTCTTACATTAGTTGATAGGTCCTTGGAAATGGAAAGCAAGAGAAATTGAAAAAGGTTTTCACTAAATAAATTAGTACCACGAGCAACATCTAAGGCAATATGAAGCCTTTGAATCCATATCAAAACTCTTTCGCTTTTCTCTGTATGAAAAACATAAAAACTTTTAGTTCAAATAGTCAAGCTTGAGAACGGTTAAAATTAGTGGTGGTGAATCCAAAGTCCAAACCTGATAAATGTTGTTTTAAAGTTCCATTAGACATATACTCCAATATCAATGCCTCCTTACCATCTTCATCGCAATATCCCTCTACAGAAACCAAGTTTTGTTGATGGACATCAGTCAACAGTTTTGCCTGCATTTTCAGATGATGCTTTGTTATAGTGAAATTTATTGGTTAAGATGTGCAATGCTACAGAATGTTATGAAAAATGACTACAGTGATTCAACCTCTGTT